AGCCGTTTTCATACAGGAGTCAGATGGCTCTACAGTCTGATCATGATCGAAGGTCTATGATCATTCTTGACCATCGATTCATGGAGTAATACATGTATGATTAACGAATTAGCTGCATGCTGGTCGCATATCCACGATGGTTGTGGAAGCGACACCGATATTTTGGCGAACCCTGTATCTTAATAGTAGCAGACGTATAACAATAGTGGCTAGTTGATACAGAAGTTTACGAAAATGAGACAGTCTCCGAAAATACTATGATATACTCTTTCTAATCTTGAGAGAAGTTGAAGAATTTGCTCACAACATCCTTAACATCTTTAATTCAGTCTAAACCCCAACGCGGTTGACGAGGTAATGAAGATGCCGGACATCGCCTCAGCAGCGGCGATGCACATTCTCAGAGAGAGAGGAATAGGAGGAGGAGCGTCAACTGGTCTTAATTTCCTTGTCTCACTTCACAAGATACTTCAATCGAAGTTAGTCAATTAATTGAACGATTGCACAAAATTTTCTTTGTCTTTGTATCTTGCAGCAGGATGGTGTGCCAAACATGAGCAACGTAGCTGGTTATTACAATTTCCTCACGTTTTATTTCAATTGCTATTTGAGAACAAATACAGATTTTATAAAAACACGAAGTAAACCAATCCCCGTCGCGCGGCAAGAAGGCAGAGTCAGCGGACGAGTCGCAGCGCGTGCTGTGCGTACAATGGTACATTCTATTTAACTTGACGCGAAATCACTACAGTACGCGCTGCGACTCGTCCGCTGACTCTGCCTTCTTGCCGCGCGACGGGCCTCCTGTCGGTACCCCTGATAACAGCCTTGGGGCGGCCGTGTGCCAGACGGCGCTTCGAGAATTGATTCTTCGATTGAGTTAAGCGTCCGAATTTGGAGAATGGATAAAAAACGATCAATAGAATAGAGTGCAGGAAAGGAAAATGTTATAGCCACGGGTGGAAGAAATTTAAGAGTTCTAGTGAAGCACGTTTGGAATCGTTTGGGAGCCTTTCCCGTCGCCAACATTTGTGACAGATGTGACAGATGCCGGAATTCGAACGCGTAACAGTCCCTACAGTCCCTCCGGTTTTACCAGAACAAACACAATTTGGGTTTCGGATTTATCGATTTATTCAAACTGCCTCCGGAGGTTGTTATCAAATCGTTTTATTCGCGGCTAACGCGCGCATGTAACTTCTTCGGGACTAATAGCGGTAGAACTCAATTTAGTTGAATTCCGGCTCGAAATGCTCACTTCCTATACGATGGCTCGAGTAAACGTTGAACCGCACACACCCACAAGAATGATGCTTACCAATTTCCTTGTATCAGACTCTGATCAAAATATCGCATTAGAGTCTAGGATGGAATGCTAGTCTCACATACGGTGCTAGCTCCCGTGTTATTGACAAGCATTCGTCCCTTCGATTCATTTGTGGATTCTCGATGTGAATCCAAAGCGCTTCCAAAGTTTTCCGCGCGAACGTTTGTGTTTCGTGCGCCACTATCATTACAGTTATCCCAAAATCGTCTCCGTTATGGTTTCGAGCCCTGTGACATCCCAATACGGTAGATACATCCATCCTAGACTCTAAATGCGATACTTTTCTGAAAAGATCAGAGGTCTGATAAAGGAATGGAACATCATTCCTTGTGGGGTTGTGTGGCAAGACCACTTTATGTGCGGATCAAAGAGCATCTAGATGGGAAGGCAAAGTCACGTGTATCTACGCGTACTGGGATGTCACAGGGCTCGAAACCATAACGGAGACGATTTTGGGATAACTGTAATGATAGTGGCGCACGAAACACAAACGTTCGCGGGAAAAACTTTGGAAGCGCTTTTGATTACGACGAGAAGTCCAGCATATAAGTGCGAGGGGGTCGAGATGTCTTGTGGCGCAGAACATGGAGTGGCAAAGTAGTGTGAGACATAGATTCCTCCTTAGACTGCTAAATGCGATACTTTTTTGAAAGAGTGGCCTGTATGAGAATATAACATTCATCCTTGGGAGGTTCGTGTGCGGTGGGTGCGGTTCGTTTTAGTCGATAGCCCTGCGTCTTAGGTAAGTGAAGAGCGATCTTGACGTGTATTCACACATTGAGGTCTCGCCTTTAGGCCTCCGAGAAGGTGACGTTCCGGCCGCGTTAGCGCGATAAAGGATTTGATAAAACCCGTGCAGCTCTCAATTTGAAGAAATGCTGTGGTATAAGTCATCTATATTGTTGATGCCGAGGGATTAGGTGTGTGGAGAGTGTCCGACGAGCCGAACGTGACAATTTTTTTGTTTTTTCGATCTTATCTCGAGTGATGGGTCTCGCTAGTGATTTATTAATGGGATAAAACCATGAACCTGTGGACAATTTCTTTAGGAGAAATTCTGACGTAAAAAGTATTACTAGCAACATCACATAATGAATGCAAATAAATATGGCCAAATCGAAGCGTTTGAGTGGGAGGTCCAGATTTTCAATACACGTAGAAAGTTGCTGCTCTTACGAGGGAGTACCTTCAGCAAGCATGCTACCAACAGCCGGCAAGGGCTAGCGGACCTGGAGTTCGGCGAGCGTTGACATGTCCAGACAAAGGGTTCTGAATCTCCACTTGCCGAGATAAATGGCCAGAGGGCGTCGTGGCTTTCTCCCGACGATTGACCATAATTCATTCGTTTCCAAACAAGCCCCGTTAGTTGTTACGCTATAGTCCTTTCCAAGAAAATAAATGAATTCTCATCAGATCCCCATCACTTAAGGCCACGAGACCATGTCATGTAACCTTCACTGAGTACTAGTTTTCAGGCCACAGACAGTTTCTTATGTATTCCTATTTGAGGGACAACCAGAAGGTGAAGGGCCGTGTCACAGTCGCAACGCTTATCTGCGATCCGGGTGAATACTACGAGAGCACCTATTTCAACTCGACATGGGTAAACAAGATGTTCGTCAACGACAAAGGCATGACTGGGCTCAACTGCTGGAAAAAGGTGCGTCTCATAACCTCGAGATACTTGAGTGCTGCTTCATGAGAATCAGAAGGTACCCCGAAAGCATTTCGTTCTTTCCTAGGAAGAATTTTTGTCAATTTGCCTAACTCCTTCCAATTCCATGGCCTAGGTAAGCGTATCAAAGGGTGATGGTCGAGTTAATTTGAAGGCGTGTTCCGCTTCGGTTCATGGGTCCTTTCCGTAAATGCAAGCAATTGTACAGGGCGATCCTCGAGACTCAAGATTGTTTTTATATCCATGTCCATCAGCTCTAGTGCCTATATATTCTTCTCAGGGGATCGTATGTTATGCCTTGATCATCTCCTATGCACTCTCGTTTCCTAGTCTTTTATCTCTCCTCAATCTCCACTCCTCATTGCTTAATCTAGCTATATTTCATCTGCCTCCCACAAAAGTCTCTTGATTTCAGTGTTTCCAGGCTCTTTCCATTCTTCTTCGCTGACCGTCCCACCACGTCCACTTCTGCCCTCGAGCACAGAACCACCCTCGATGAATTAGATAGACCGTTCCCCTGAACTTGGCCTGGGTCCTTATTGATCTTGGTTACTTACACTTTTCTCACACAATATACAGAAGAGTAATTCTGAACTGGGCATACCTTTGTGGAATATCCCTAGTCATGTAAAATCGATAACATTTATTGAGCATTAGCATGATTCTATTTGCCGACGGTTGCCCTCGTCACTAGGAAGCATATCCCACGATAATAAGTGTGGGTGGTGGTGCAAGAAAGGTGGATGAAATTGTGCTGTGTGAGGCGACAATGAGGAAAAGTGCGGAAGAATCTGTTGTAAACACACTGAGTAATACAACTACCCGCTCAGCTGACTATAAGAAACTATGGCAGAGAATGCGACATGAGATAGAGATCAGAGAGAGGCAGATAGTGGCAGGGCTGCCAGCAGAAGGATGAAGCAGAAAGAGTTTGGGCTTTGGAGCGTTGTTACTGAACCGCCCTCTGTCAGATTAAATTTCATTCACCTGCTCAAGGACTTTTCGCTGGCTCGGTACGTTCCAGGCGGGTTATCGCGCAAAGTGCCTTTGATATCAGTGCTCTACAATAGCGAAATGAGCTACTATTTGGTTATAAATCCTTGCAGGTGATCAACAAGTCGATTGAAACCGGATCCGATTTTCTCGAAGAAGGCCTGATCAAATGTCCTAAATCACGTAAGAAATCACGTAAGAAACAATAGTTTATCAAGTTTTATCTTTCCAACTTACCAAACTTTGCACGTAGGTTCATGCCTTTTCTTAGCTTCTCTTAGAAATATGATAATAATTATGATATACGATCCTAGATGTGCCTTTGAACGCTGATCTCAAATCTACCTTCCAAATCTGCTAAACGATTCTCTGAACGGAGTTATGAAGCAAAACAGCGCAACGGTAGTGGTCGGGACTCACAGTCAAAACGTCGTAGGATCGGTCCCTTATCGTGTTTACTGTTTTGCATTCTTCAGGAATACAGCTAAACGGCTTTTAATTG